AAAGATATCACTCCTCCTCAAGTCCTGTCATCAGCTGTCACTTGGTAAGTCAGCACTCGCAAGCACTCGCAAACACTCGGCACTCGGCACTCTCGGCACTCTCGGTACTACCTACCTACCTAGCCCAGCCCAGCCCAGCCTGCCAGCCAGTCACCATTGATCATGGCATCAGGCATAGAATAGTTTCTCTGGCCTAGTTTACATGTCAGCTGTTGCCTCAGCTGCGTTCAGCGTTCAGTCAGAGCTGATTGTGAAATGCGCCAACGTCATATTCTGCTATTGCGCATCTTCGTGAATACAACTTATAGGTTATGATTGTACTACGTACAGCTCAGCACCGTCGTGAATGTCGTAATCGGTCGTAATTCCGTCATGAGTCAACATTGGGCGACATGCCAAAAATAATATGGATCCTTTTGTTGATTCTACAAGTTTGTTTCATTGGAAGTACGGTTGGTTCGTTAGGTGACAGGTCGCAGGTATACAAGCAATGTCTAGCACTGTGTCGTAATAACAACTGCAGAGACGGTAATGATTGGGCTGTGATTTTTTCAAATTTTGTTTGAATTTAATATTTTCCTCAAATAGGCATTTTCGAGTGAATTTGAATCCGAGATCGATTAACTCCAGTTAACCTGAAGGGTGATAACCATGTTGCTCTTTTTAGTTGAACTTTTGTATCAGTTCATCTTTCTTCCTTTTCTCTTCAGGAGGAAAGAAGAAGAAAAAAGATAAACTGGTGCAAAAAGTGTGTCTCTTAAGTGATCCGATTCATGTTGACAACAGTGACAACGCTCATAAGCATCGTTTGTCTTTGTTTAACATTTGACAAACAAGAATGAAATGATTTTTAAACGGCGTGAATCGAACCGCTGTCTTGGTGTGGCGTCATTAATCGATCTCGAACCTCGAATCGTTTCGAATTCACGATTGAAAAAGCATTGCAAAACTAGACCTAAAATATATAGTATTTAATTATATATATATATTTATATATTTATAAAGAGTATATACTTATATAGAATATTAACAAATTATATTCATATAAAAAGCAATATGTATATATGCAAATATAATACATATGTAAATAATATGAGA